AGCATCTTTGTTGGTCAAACTTAGGTTTAGATTTAACTTCTGGGATACCCATTTTTCCTTAACATAATATTAGCTGTGCTACTGTAAAATAATCCACTGTATCTTTTGTTTGTACATAATCAAATTATTCATATTAGTATTAGTATTCATACCAAGTGCAGTGGAAAGTTGTTAATCAATGAAGCATTTATGTGTAAAAAATATTTAAATAATAACATCAAAAACAACAACAACTTTTATTACTAGTTGCTCTGAGCTTTGCAGTAATGTTTGTTTTGGCCTATATTACAGTTTAAGATTAAAATATGATGTGTTTCCCACTTCAGAATCAACAGCTGTTGAACAAAAGGTTGAGTAATTTATGCAAACACACAAAAAAAGTGCCCTTTTCCTGTGAACTCTGATGTTTCCTGTTGAACTGATGAAGTACATAACATAAGCCTAATCGATACACCATGATAGCTACTGAAGGGTTATCATATTCATCTACCATGGTATTTAATCCAGCATTCTTTTGGGACTGGGATTTGGGATAGTTTTGGGGATTGTTTTTTTAGTGTACATTTCAATTAAAACTTTTAGTTAGCAGAAGTTTTCAGATTTATCTTCTAAAGAATAACATGGTAGGCTACTGCCCAAAAACATTATAATAACATAATGCATGTAAAAACAAACAAGCAAACAAAAGGCGTGGTAATATCATGTTACAGTAACGTTTACGTTCCAGCATTTTTCAGAAAATCATGTGTAACTTCTCGAAGACTTTTGTCCAACGTTTCCCCAAAAGAAATATTAGACTTGCTGCTGTAAATAAATGCACTGATTACAGTATGCTGCATTGTTAGTGCATTATAAATGTAACGTTAGCCTATTCATAGAAAGTTTAGTGAAGAGTTCCGTTACTCGGTCAATGTAGCGTCGTGGTTTAAAACAGTCAGTTACCATCTATCTTCCCTACATTAAGGATTCTATACTTTCGTCTACGTTTACTTCATGAAATACATGTGATACAAGTATAACTTTCTCTTACCACTTGGCCGATTTTCAGTAATCCTTGAAATGAACGCGCATAACCGATGTTGCAAAATCCTCCATCCGAGGTGGATGTTGTTGTTGTGGTTGTAGTAGTAACAACAGTGTGAGGCATTCTGGTATATAATATTTGAGGAACTTTACAATTAAGATAATACTTATTTAAAACCGCTTACATTGAACCAGCAGTTGAGTCAGGAGAGGCGTCAACTACAACAGGGTGTGACTTTCCACGGGCTATAAACCAGCCTCGTCCACACGGGGCGTGTGGAGGCTCAAAGTCTGAATCCCCAACTAGGCGCCATTCAAAGCATTGAAAACATTTATACACGAAAATAAATGTAAACATATTTGCTATAATGACATATATCTGAAATACGAACCAAAATACACCATACAAATCTCAAATACAATGACTTTTAAAAATGACCATAGAGTAATCAAAAACGAATGTGATTGGTCCATCTGAATCAGCGCCTAGAAAAGAAACAGATACCACGTGATAACAAGTGTTAAAGGGATAGTTCACCCAAAAATGAAAATTTGATGTTTATCTGCTTACCCCCAGGGCATCCAAGATGTAGGTGACTTTGTTTCTTCAGCATCAGAATCAGAATCAGAATCAGAATGAGCTTTATTGGCAGGTATGTTTACACATAAAAGGAATTTGTTTTCGTGACAGAAGCTTCCACAGTGTAACAGAATGACAGTGACGGAACAAAAAACACAGATAATAAAAAATACAAATAAATAAAAATAGAACAAGTAAATAAGGAATAAAATATACAAATCGACAATAGAACACAAACAAAGATTTTTAACTCAAACCGTTCCAGTCTGTCAGTCATATAATGAAAGTGAACAGGAATCATGGCTTTGAGAGTCAAAAAAACATACACAGACAAAACCAAATTAAACCCTGCGACACGTGACGATACATTGATGTGTAAAGACACGAAACGATCGGTCTGTGCAAGAAACTGAACAGTATTTATATCGTTTTTTAACTCTGATGCACTGCAATATCTGAATATCTTTGCATACTGAATCATAAATCCAGAACATCTGCAATGGATGCACGCTGCTTTAGTAAAAGTCTTGATCTGCTGGTGATCCTTCATACTGCATGTGAGAAAATTCAAAAGAGTTCGAATAGATTAAAACTGGTGGTGGTTGAGGAGATTCCCCCTTTCTATGTAAAGCGCTTTGAGTGCCCAGAAAAGCGCTATATAAATGTAAGGAATTATTATTATTATTAACTCAGTAAAACTGATAAATGTGCTTTGAACATTTTTAAGCTTTGTAAACTTCTTTCCCTAGCTATAGCCAAAGATGACGACGGCTGGTTGATGAAAGCGCCCACTGAGGTCCGGGACGATGGAACCACTTCCATAACGGCTATAAGCTTAATTGTTAACTGAAAAATTAAGGTTTGTCAAGACAAATTTTAAATGAAGGCTTGATAAAGCTTTGTGTGAATTACATTTAAAAAGTCCTGAACATTTTAAAGACCTTATAGACAAATATGTTTGAAATGTCACCTATAAATTTGAAGTTAATTAATAAATTCATCTTTCAGGAAAAGCACTGTAGTTTCTCTGAATGGCTGTCGAATTTCTCTGAATAGAGCACTGCAGAGATGGCATATTTTTGTAGGCCAACCCAGAAATTTCCATCACCCTATTTCCTCGGACAAAAACCCAACAGGTTTTTTCCACTGGCTTTTTGATTATTACATAAAATGAGCTTTGTGTAAAACAAAAATTTATGATTCTTGCACGTTTTGTTCAAGATAATCTTCACAAATGAGCACAACATTCATTAATTTTGAAGCCTAAACAAAATCAGTAGAAGTAAAAAGCTATAAACAAACCACACCATGGTCACATGACTTAAAGGTCATCACCAAGTTTTCAAAAACTCTTTCAATCATCATTTAAAATCTAGTTAGAATAGTTTGACAGAGCATGAGCATAAACACAATGAAGATGTGAAAGTGGACTAGTGTGAGTTTCCGTTCGGCATTTAAAAGGGTTCAATTATGCTCTTTTACAAAGTATTGATTTTGTTTTGGGTGTGTACTAGAACAGGCACTCATTACTAGGTTGTTCGAAAAACACATTATTTTTCACATATTTTACATTATTACAACACCTCTCTCCTCAGTCTGGCATGAACGGCTCGAATAGTTCCTGTATCAAATGAAGGCCCGCCTTCTGAAACACGAAATGTGCTGTGATTGGTTAGCTGGCCAGTGTGTGTTGTGATTGGCAGCACTCAGCGCCTGGTCAGGAAATGTCATCCCCTTACCATAGCCGCCTGTGAGCTTCAGTGTAAATATTGTCAAAATCAATTTGAGCGCAATTTAAACCCAGATGATTGTAACCACTCTAAGTTCGTCTGTCTTGGGAAAGCTAGCATGTCTCTGACATAGTGATAACACGCATTGCCTTCTCTAGTGCGGCTCAACCAGCTCTCGTCCCATTCGTTGGTATTTGTGATATCACAAACCCCGGAAAATATGCGTTGTAGTCCAAACGAGTCGTTCCTTGTAGTTTTTGAAAAGGGATTTCTGTTAAATAAAACATCTCCTTTTGAAGTGGACTTTGAGCTTTGTAACTTTGCAGATCTTTTTTATGCTCAAACAGCAACATTACAGACTAACTAAAGTTGAAAAAGTGAAAAAGCATGATAGGACCCCTTTAATTTAAACTATCTCTGTAGACCCATTTAACCTCTTTTCAACTGCCCTTTTCAAGACCTGTAATGCTTAAAATACCACCAAAAATATATATATAAAAATTGCCCATAAGTGCAAAAATTTCAGGAGTTTAACTTATTCCTGCAGAGCTCTGTTATAATTCAGTAAATTTCACTTCCTGTCATTTTCCAATCATACCAATTCAAATTCCAATGGGGTTTGGCCTATACAACGGGCGACAGTACATCTGTGCGGCTTCAAACTCTTTGGGGAAGGATCAAGCCACGCTCTAACTTTTGCCCCCCAGTCCAGACAGTTCAACCGCAAAAAGCTCTTTCTCGCTCCTTGTGCTGCATCTTGCTCTAGCGTTGAGTACCAAGCTGCTTTTGGCTCTGGGTTTGGGAGCTTGGGTGATCAAGAGGAGGTTTAGTGTCAGAGCTAGCAGCGTGGAGCACTGAAAAGACACTCATGTAATCACATAATCAGAACACTCTGGTCTCAAAGCTGTTTCTTGTCCCATGTGTGTTGTTAAAAATACAAAGGATTAAAATAAACTTCTTCTGAAGTGAGCCATAAGACTCTGACTTCCGTCTTTGTCGGACCTGACTGGACAAGTTAACACAAGAGTGACTTATATAATAACTAATAACTAACAGAAAAAAATTAATCTTTATCTTTGTGCATTCATCTGTCAAATAAGTTTTGCAAATGAAAATCAGTGGGTTGGAAAATATAAAGAATTAAAAAAAAAATTCTGCCTTTAACTGGGATCTACTGCACTGATTCATAAGGACTGATTACTTATATTTATTTCCACCACCACTTACAAAACATCATAACCATTTCGGTTGATATTTTTGATTGATATTTTTCCGCAAAACCCAAAAGAAAAGCAGTAGCAAATATTGCTTTTTTCTCTTTTCTTAAATAACATGCACCAATGAATCATTCAAGAAAAAGACCATTTGTGAGGATTTAAATCTTAAATTTAGATTTTGTGATGATTTTGAAGTCAGTTTGAACTTGTTTGCAACTTGACTCTTGCAGTACCATTTTATAACTTTAAAGATTTTTAAAATAAAGGGCTAAAAAAGTAAAATAAAATAAAGCTTATGACATTATTTATTTTTAAAAAGTCAACAGGACTCATTGTTGTTCTATTAACATTCTTTAATAATCTATTTTAACATTCTTTGATAATAATCATCGTTTAAATCTTAGCCTGGATACACCTCAAAATGCATCTCCACTTACTAATTTTTAATAGTTTCACTGCTAATTACATTGCTAGATCAATTTCATTGCCCACCAGATAACATTTTCTAAATCTAGTCTAATATAGGGGCCTAACTAAGTATAGACAGATAAATGTTAATTATGAAAGTAAAACCAATCTATATTGATCCCTAAACACAGTTCTGAAAACAAAAAAATAAACATGGACATTTTGGAGATCCCTTTACAAGTATTGTAATTAAGACATCTGCTTATTACAAAGTATCTCAAAAGGTGAGATATTTTGGTTCGATATAGCAAATAGGTTTCTTTTTAGAACAGCAGCGAGCACTCTTCCACTTGAAGTTCTTGTTGGGATCCAGGGAAACTGTGGCACACAAGCCTTTCTCCGGCCTTTCAGGCTGTCCGTTCTCCCAGTAAGTGAAGTCCACATTGGATGAGAAATTGCCTTCGTTTTGCCAATACCACTCTGCTGAGTACAGGCTGCGGCGCAGACTGATCCAGCCCTCCGTGGGGTCTATGACTGCCATGTTTGAGGCCATCTTATCCTGGCTGCTTCTATTGTTGAGCCTGGCAAACAGATCAGCATTTTCCGTGCAGTACTCATGGGACATGGACCAGCTCATTTCATCTTCACCAAGTACAAACATCTCCGGAGTCACCAGACAGCCATAACGATCTAAACACACAAACAAATATTCAGTTAGTATTATACATAATTGTTTAAAAAAAGAAAAAGAAAGAAAAAAACATTTATTATTTATAAATGTTATTTATAATCATACTGCTACCAATTAACCTGACTACGCGGTCAATTATTATACTGTCAGCCACTAGAAAGGGGGTAGAGTTTGTTAAAAAAAAAAAAAAGCTCCTAATTTGGACCTCATGACTAAAAAAAACATACAAAAAGCTAGAAGCACAGCAACAGCAAAACAATCTCATTAAAAAAAAATTTTAAAAAAAAGGTATATATATAAATGCATATAATCATATTTTATATATAAAGTTATATAGGGACAGGTGTCTTTTATACTGATAATGAGTTCAAACAGATGCCATTAATACAGGTAACGAGTGGAGGGCAGAGGAGCCTCTTAAAGAAGAAGTTACAGGTCTGTGAGGGCCAGAAATCTTGCTTGTTTGTAGGTGACCAAATACTTATTTTACCGAGGAATTTACCAATTAATTCTTTAAAAATCCTACAATGTGATTTTCTGGATTTTTTTTTCTCATTTTGTCTCTCATAGTTGAGGTATACCTATGATGAAAATTACAGGCCTCTCTCATCTTTTTAAGTGGGAGAACTTGCACAATTGGTGGCTGACTAAATACTTTTTTGCCCCACTGTATATTATAAAGAGAATATTATAAACAAATAAATATATATCATATATGTATATTATTATTACGATATAGTAAATATTTAAAGAATATAATCATATTCTACACTGAAAAATATGTGGAAACCATTTTCAAATTGCTAGTAAACTGCACAACAAAGAAACTGCAATAAACTGAAATAAACATAACATTTTAAAGCAGAAGAACTGAAATCATATTTTATTTATTTTGGTGTGATTAATTATATATATGGCTTATAAAATCGATTAATCACAATTAATCACACCAAAATAAAAGTTTGTGTTTACATAATATGTGTGTGGACTGTGTATATTTATATGTGTATATATAAATACATGCACATACATGTATATATTTAAGAAATATATGTAATATACATTTATATATAATATAAATCATATATAACTATAATTATATGTAAGGGATAATGCACGGCTATCTGCCCCCTTCAAATCAGACACAGAGATGAAATAATGCGGCAAGACCACATTTATTTGAATTAATTATTGATCGATCTAGAGAGAGAGAGAAATAACAGTTGTGTGAGTTAGGCTACCTGCGTCTGCGCATCTCTCTCTGCAAACAATAAAGCTGTGTTTAGTTAGGCTACTTCAAATTTAAACTTCTTAAAACTACTTCTGATTTAAAGGGGGCAGATAGCCGTGCATTAGGGTATCCCATACATATAAATACATAAATACAGTAGCAAATATGTGTAGAATTTAATTACGGTTAAACACTAACCTGGGTCCATACTTATAACTGTTGCTGCGCTCCCATAGGTATTGTTAGACTCCAAGCGTTCGAACATATAAACACCAATCCTTGCAGAAGGATGCCAGATTGTGCTTAACCTTTCTGCGACCACTAGAGCCCAAGAGTACTCCGTGTCATCCATAACGCTCCAGTTGATGTATGAAGGCAAAGGCTGATCGTTCATTCGCACACCATCAACGCTGGGTGTATCAGCAATCACCAAGGCCCCACTGCTTGAGGAATTAAAATCTACCAGATAGCACCCAGAGAACATGCTTATCGGAATGAGGTCTAGAATGAGTCCAGGACTAACTAATCGAAGGGAAACATGCATGGAAGTAGAAATAAGTGAGGCCCCATCCATAAAATTTGGTAATAATGGCAGGATGTCTGAAGATTTTTGTACACTGACATTAGTACAAGTAGTAAAATAACCCTGACAGACCCTGAAGGGTTGATTTGTTGTCACAAGTAGCTGTTTGGCCCTGAAGAAGGGGGGCATGGGGAATATGTCTGTCTTGTCATTTAACACAAATGGTTGGAGCTGGTTCAGAATCATGTTGCATGAGCAGTTTTTGCTGTCAAAACACGGATGGGTCAGAATCACAGCCACTTTGTCCTCTGCATTGATTTCTCTCACAGTCCCATTAATTTGAATCTGGTAAAGATCGTAAGGATCGAGCATTATTGTATTTTCTTGGCTCTGACCTCTTTCATCTACCTGTTTGATGATGACATTGTTGTCCATGCCCACTGCATTGATAATCATCAGCCTAAAAGGGAGGAGTCTGACATTTGATGTCATCATAAGGTTAAAGGACACGGCTATCTTGGTGTAATCCAAAGAGGGAACATGATACACCTTTCCCAGATTTTGTTCAGGCTGGACAACGTGAGACTGGAATCCCCCCTTCCATCCACTCACAGAAACCACTGTGATGTTTTTATCACTGGTGATTCGAAATGTCTTATTGGAAGACACAAACTGGGATTCTTCAACCTCCTTTGTCAAATTCAAAGTCCAAACGGTTCCATTTGCAAGGCTTGCATTTGTGGTGGCGTTGCCGCTGGCCATATAGGTGACATTGATCGTAGTGTCTGGGTGAAGGGTAGTGATTTTGAATAGGTTAAAGGTCTTCCGATAATAAAAAGCAATATTCTCGGGGAATGCAGTGATGAAACTCGTCCCACGATTGTCCATTGAAAGCCCTGTGAATGTTCATCAGTCTAATAATCATGTTCGTTTCAAATTTCAAACTAATTTTCAGCCAGTGATAATCACTACAGATGCACCAACAGGGTAATTACTTGTATCTGGTATCAATATAATCATCAGTATTCTGAATATATTGGCATAATTGCACTTTAAAATTTCAAACAATTTGAGAACATCACATTTTTTAAACATGAACGATTAAAAAGATGGCCAATTGCAATATTTATTACAGCAATTTCAAGGATAGGACTTGAGCACAATCAATTGAATAACATTTTTTTTTTTAAAGTTCAAAATGTTTGGTGTCCTGAATTGGTATTGGTGCATCCCTAGTAATTATATTAAAGGAACACTCCACTATTTTTTAAAATAGGCTCATTTTCCAACTCCCCTAGAGTTAAACAGTTGAGTTTTACCATTTTCGAATTCATTCAGCCGATCTCCGGGTCTGGCGGTAGCACTTTTAGCTGTAGCTTAGCATAGATCATTGAATCTGATTAGACCGTTAGCATCTCGCTCAAAAATGACCTACGAGTTTCAATATTTTTCCCCATTTAAAACTTGACTATTCTGTAGTTACATCATGTACGAAGACTGACGGAAAATGAAAAGTTGCGATTTTGTAGGCCGATATGGCTAGGAACTATACTCTCATTCCGGTGTAATAATCAAGGAACTTTGCTGCCGTACCATGGGTGCACCAGGCGCAATGATATTACGCAGCGCCTGAAAATAGTCCCAGCTAGGTAACTTCCAATAAGCTTATTTTCAGGCGCTGAGTAATATAATTGCGCCTGCTGCACCCATGGTACTGAGCTACAGCTAAAAGTGCTTCCGCCAGACCCGGAGATCGGCTGAATGGATTCGAAAAAGGTAAAACTCAACTGTTTAACTCTAGGGGAGTTGGGAAATGAGCCTATTTTCAGAAATAGTGGAGTGTTCCTTTAAATAATTCAAAACAAAAGATTTGTCTATATGCACTATTTACCTTGACTAAACATCAAAATGGTCAAAAGAACAGCCAACATGACTGCGTATTTTGCATGTGCAGCTCCACCTTGTGTGAAGTTGGTTTCAGTTGCTGTGCACTAAGCTGCCAAAAAAAATAGTAAATGACAAATTATTTTTTTAAAACGCTTCGTTGATCCAGTGTTTATTATACAAAATTCATATGCAGACAACAGTAAACCATATTTTCCACTGAGGAAGCTCTTCTTACAGTTAGTCAAACTAGAAACAAGACTATGTAAAATACCTGCTTTCAATATGTTTTGTCTTTCATTTGAAGTTGCTCTTTTTTGTGTGTGTGTGGGGGGGGGGGGTAAAAATATGGTACAAAGTAATATTGTGCAATATTATAATTTAATTTAAAGATCAGTTTTCTGTCTTAATACATGGTAATGGGAGAGTAAAAATATTTTTAAAACGTACACCGTTCAAACTAGGCTGCTTATGTTGAAGTGTTTGGGATGTGGCTTTTAATGATGAGACCTTTTTTGTAATCAGGCTCTCAAAAAGTATATAACAATTTGGATATAGATTTATCGGCCAACATATCGGTTATTGGCTTTCAAAAATAAAGAATAATCGGTTATCGTATCGGCCAAAATTTTCATATCGGTGCATCCCTATTTAAAATTTAATTTATTCCTAAGCAAAGCTGGATTTTCAGCAGCCATTACTTCATTCTTCAGAAATGTTTTAATGAATATAAAGTTTAAAAGAACAGCGTATATTTGAAACTTAATTTTTTTGTAACTTTAGAAATATCTAACTTTTGATCGGCTTAATGCCTTGCTGAACAAAGGTATTATTTTCTTTCAAATACATACAATTCATTCAGAAGTACATCTACTGACACTAATGTCCTTAGATGTGTTCAGATTCAGAAAGCACTGAAAATTAAATTCAAGATACAAACAAGAAACAAATTTTAAAAAAGTAATAAATTGTTTTTTTTAACTATAGCCATCAAGAATATAGAAAACATAATCCTAATGAACAACATTAATAGTTTACTCTTCAGTCTATAAAATTGTGTTGAGCAGCCCTACATCGAGTAGTCATATGTGACCCTGGACCACAAAACCAGTTTTAAGTCGCTGTGGTATATTTGTAGCAATAGCAAAAAATACATTGTATGTGTCAAAATTATAAATTTTTTCTTATTAATTCAGCTTTCAGATGATGTATAAATCTGAAATTCGAAAAATTGACACTTAAGACTGGTTTTGTGGTCCAGGGTCACATATATTAAATACTAAAAGGTTTTAGAATTTCATACAAAGTGTACTAAAAACTAGAAACAAATATTAGTTAATATCTAGGAGGCTGTATTAAATCTTTTTGATTCTTTCAGATAAATGCATCAGTTGAAGTTAATCAACAGCAACCACGAGTTCGTTTCCACCGATTTGTCATTTGCTTAAATTCTTATAAAATTTCTACAGACTTTACAATGGTCTATAAAGACAACCAATTGCTCTGCTTAAACTTAGATTAGAAAAATTATATTCTAAAGAAAAATACTACTCTAAATATTGATAAAGTGCTATGCCTGCATCCCAAAGATCACTTTTAAGGAGAACATTCAGAAATATTTACACAGTTTACCTAATTCAAACATAAATTAATAAATGAGATTGTTTGCTTCACTGCCACAAATGTTAAAACATCCTACCTTATCGTGGCCAGCACTCTTTCTCTATCTGAACAGAATAAGCCGTGCGTTCACTGCTCATTCAGTAAAAGAACATTTGACATTCAAAAACTCCTCTCTCTTCTCCCCATGTGGTTTTGCATATGATTATAGAAAGGTTTGTGTCTTAAGATCAACAAGTTTCATATTACAGATCTAGAAATTCACCAAAACCTTCGTAAGACACTTTATTCACTCAAAATACTTGTTCCAAAACAGTCCTCAAAGGAAAACAGTGTTACAATTTCATCAGCAACCGAACTGAAAATTGTGTTTATATCTACACATCACAACCCTCAATTATTTTGTTTGAATTTTTTTTCAGAATTTTACAAAATAGAAATTTCTTAATGAATATACAACATAAAGCTCCATATTTCTCTCAAGCGTTCACTGTCTTTGTACTTTACTCTGACAAGCAGTCTGTGGTGGGAAAGCATGAAATTTGTTTCAAGTTTTGACTTAAATTCTCCACTGCTGCTGATATGCCTAAAATCTGATCAAGCAACATACGTTTTTCAACTGAATTATATAAAAAAACAACACCCAATCTGCATGCTTTCAGGCTTTGAGCTGTGCCATTTAAAAACACTGGTGTTTGGTCACAGCCCTTCAAGGCCACATTTGTGTATTTTCGGCACAGACATATTTGGTATTCAAAATACACAATTTCCTTTATTTTGCATAAAAAATTGGAAAGGGTTAGTGGCTAAACATTACCTATCTTCATTCTTCTGACATGAAAACCTTAGCCTGGCACTTACTATGTTTATCAAATCTGCAAAAAACAAAACAAATATCAAGTGTATGGTGTTTGTTTGCTTCATGGTTTGAATTTCTTCCTGAAGCAGCAATAAAAATCCACCTGTTTCACCTTAAAAATAATATATAATAATAATAATAATATTTTATATATACAGTGGGTACGGAAAGTATTCAGACCCCCTTAAATTTTTCACTCTGTTATATTGCAGCCATTTGCTAAAATCATTTAAGTAAATTTTTTTCCCTCATTAATGTACACACAGCACCCCATATTGACAGAAAAACACAGAATTGTTGACATTTTTGCAGATTTATTAAAAAAGAAAAACTGAAATATCACATGGTCCTAAGTATTCAGACCCTTTGCTGTGACACTCATATATTTAACTCAGGTCCTGTCCATTTCTTCTGATCATCCTTGAGAGGGTTCTACGCCTGCATTTGAGTCCAGCTGTGTTTGATTATACTGATTGAACTTGATTAGGAAAGCCACACACCTGTCTACATAAGACCTTAGCCGAATTGAGGCAGTAATTAAAGCAAAAGGAGCCCCTACCAAGTATCGAGTACATGTACAGTAAATGAACATACTTTCCAGAAGGCCAACAATTCACTAAAAATGTTTTATGAAGTATTCTAATTTGTTGAGATAGTGAATTGGTGGGTTTTTGTTAAATGTGAGCCAAAATCATCACAATTAAAAGAACCAAAGACTTCAGTCTACTTAAACTACTTCAGTCTGTGTGCATTGCATTTATTTAATACACTAGTTTCACAATTTGAGTTGAATTACTGAAATAAATTAACTTTTCCATGACATTCTAATTTATTGAGATGCGCCTGTATATATACATTTCAACAGTGATTACATATGATCACCAATCTGGACAAATATGTATTTTTCTAACAATTTTTTAAAAACAATTTATACCATATACACTGAAAAACATCAGTATACATAATCAAGACATCTCTACAAAAAAAAACTACAGAATAACTGTTTTTCCAGTAAGATATTTTAATGGAAAAAAACATGCTGATGTATAAAAATTCTTGTCTCTTTGGCACAATATTTCAATGGAGAGATTTAGAGTGAGGTTTTTCTGAAGTCAGTCTCATTTATTTACAGAAATAGTTAAGGGTGAATAAATAAAGACAGAATCTTATTTTTAGGTGAACTATAAAGGGACTTGTCATTACATACCCTTTAAAACTCCCATATTTATGACAGACATTTTCAAGATACGGTACTTCAAAAGGGAAAATATACTCATTATGAACCAAGCTATGGCAGTAAGATGCAACACTGATTTAATCCTGCCCACCCCCAGCATGACCAAAAGGTTTTCGTGGCTTGCGTGGACACTTTCCTCTCCCAGCCCCTTCTGTCCTTCCAGTCCCTGTTCCACCCCTCTTCCTTCTCTGTCCATGTTTCGGAGTTGCTGCTTCCTCTTTGAGAGCCTGAGCCCACAAAGCATCAAAAGAACCTGGAGCTTGGTAACCCGGCTGGTTCTTATCAAGTGAGTCTCTGGAGAGCAGAACCCATATACTGGGTACATTTCTGCTGACTGTGAGACTGTCCAACCCGGCCTCAGGCTCTAGGGGCTCCCAGACCTCCTGAACTGTGCGATAGACCAGTTTGGTGTTCTGGTGTAGGTCGTGTACACGCCGTTTCATGATCTCCACACATGTGATGGCTTTAGCCACGCTCTGACCCACACCCGTGAACACGATTTGACGGCACAGATTCTCCCCCGACCCAACGCTCACCTCTGGGCCTTCATGAGGGCCTGGATGATCTGCGGAGGCTGTTTTCTCCTCCATACGGCTTAAAGCAAACCTCATGAGGTTTCGGATTTTGCTGCCATCCTTCACTCGAACTTCTGCAGTGTCGCTGGGCAGGTCGGGGAATGGACACAGGGAGGGCTGCTCGACTGTACGTGCTTTTCTGTAGTTCTCCATATCATGTAGCCTTTACCTGTGAAATTAAAAAGGACAAAAGGTAAATCTAATGACTGTGTATGAGTAGTTTGTTTTGCAAAAACATCCCCTCAAAAAAAATCTTTAACTGTACCAGTATAAGACCAATTGGTAAAGTGTTTTCTTTACCAACTATTTTGTATGTTGGTTTCAAAGACCAAACACCTAGGTCCATTTTTATTTTTTTATTCATAAATTACAATTTTTGAGACAGTGTACTCTTGAACAAGGGTGATTTTCATCAATGACAGCTCAGAGTAAGTGACTTAAATGTTTTAAATGAATACAGTTTATTACAAAAATGTGTTCTCTATTTAAAATATACATTTAATCATTCGAAAACAGCATTATTATTCAGAGTGGCACATTAAATGTATTGCAAACTTACTTTCCCGTCCTTTGCTAAAGTAGCGATCTTGCTAACCGGTTCAGATATCTGCAGCTGTTTTTCTGAAAAATGCGGGCTTTTGTCGTTCCATATGAATAAACTGCGGCCTCTGAGATTCGACAGTCTTTTTCAAATACTGAGTTAACTACAAGCAAAACGACACAGTTTACGAAATTAAAATGTTACGCTACAATTCACATAATCCTCATGTAACAGCGTGTGACGTACGCTGTCGATAATGTGACAATATGCCGTAAAGTGCCGCACATGTTCATGGGAAGTGTAGTTTCAGGGCCGGATTATCCAATGATGGGCACGGGCCCGAGCGAGTCAAAGAAAACATTTCGGAATGTCTATTTACACTAAGTGCAAATAGCAGGTCTTGTTGGCATATACTGTAACTTAATTTTTCAAGTTATCGATTTTACCTATTAATATTCTTTATTTTTACTTTATTTTTCACTTATGCATTAATCATATGCATTTATTTAATATTTTGTTGTGCAAAAATAGGCCAGCTCAAGCAATGACCACAGATGGCACGAGGAGGATAATCCCTTTAAGATGTCAAATTACTTATCAAATTCAATTATTCTGTAACAGCGCAGAACGTCAACAAGAGTTATTTATTAGGACACAGCGCCACCAAGCGTTCAGAATCAGGAACTTGTCACAGCCGATCCCATGCGTGAGCGAACTGTCTGTCTGAATGAATCAACGTCAATCCCAAACTATTTCACACTTTTTACAAACCCATTTGACCGAATAGATCGATAGTGATTCTTTCTCGAATCGTTATCTCTGATTCTAAACAACTGATAGAAAACATAGACATGACTGCTGACATTTTATGAGGGAAACTGCTTAGTTATTAGGTCAGTAAACCAAACTCCACCATCAGACGAGGGTTTTTAAAGATAAAGCATGTGTAGTAGTAGATGAGATCTTAAAGTGATAGTTCACCCAAAAATGAAAATACTGTCATCATTTACTCAGCCTCAAGTTGTTCTAAACATGTATGCATTTCTTTGTTCTCCTTAACATAAAAGAAGATATTTTGAATTTGAAGAATGTTCGTAACCAGAAAGTTTCTGATCCCCATTGACTCCAATAGTGTATTTTTTTTATTTAATTTTCATACTATGGAAGTCATGGGGGCCGAGCAACTGTTTGGTTACCAGTATTGTTCCAAATATATTATCTTGCGTTCAACAGCAGAAAGAAACTCATACAGGTTTAGAACAACAACAGAATTATCATTTTTTGGGTTATCGATAGTGATTCTTTCTCGAATCGTTATCTCTGATTCTAAACAACTGATAGAAAACATAGACATGACTGCTGACATTTTATGAGGGAAACTGCTTAGTTATTAGGTCAGTAAACCAAACTCCACCATCAGACGAGGGTTTTTAAAGATAAAGCATGTGTAGTAGTAGATGAGATCTTAAAGTGATAGTTCACCCAAAAATGAAAATACTGTCATCATTTACTCAGCCTCAAGTTGTTCTAAACATGTATGTATTTCTTTGTTCTCCTTAACATAAAAGAAGATATTTTGAATTTGAAGAATGTTCGTAACCAGAAAGTTTCTGATCCCCATTGACTCCAATAGTGTATTTTTTTATTTTTTTTCATACTATGGAAGTCATGGGGGCACAGAAACTGTTTGGTTACCAGTATTGTTCCAAATATATTATTTTGCGTTCAACAGCAGAAGGAAACTCATACAGGTTTAGAACAACAACAGAATTATAATTTTTGGGTGAACTGTTCCTCTAAAGCAGCCTAATATAGCTGCTGTTGCCATTTGTGTCAATAATGTAAATCAAACATCAGAAAGAAAATCACTCACTGTCCTTGACTGAATCACTTTTGTAAAATAAATAAGAATTAATTTATTTTGAATTTATAGAGTGAAGACTATTCAGTCTATTTGTACGTTTACTTTATACGATATAATATTTCTTAGTCAGTTTCTTGAATTTTTTTAAATAGGTCGATTTCTTATGTATCTTAGTATAATTTGTGACTGTTTACTTGTCTTCAGTAAGCTTGTTTTTACTTAGCCTAGTATTATTATTTTGTGTATGTGATATTGAAATTGGTATCAAAAATGTTGATAAGATAAAAATCCTATTTAAAGCTATATGTATATCATTATTGTGAAGGGGGGCCCTGCAGTAAGTCATAACTCAGGGCCCAGTGAGATCTTAATGTGGCCCTGTGCCCAGGGGCAAGATAACCCCTCAAACTTATTTTTTCCTCTTGACCATAGACATTAGTCTATTTTTAATTTTGTCATTTTATCTGAAGATCAACAACAGTTTTTGAGATTTAGTCAGTCGAAACAGTTTTGAGGTTAATTGATCAAATTTCTCTTTAAAAAATAGTGATCTTTGTGGAGACATCAGTGTTTTTAGATATTAATTTTGAAGTAAGAAAAAAGAGGTAATATTTTTATCCTTTTATTGTTTTTATATATTTTTTATTAAATGAATCTGAATCATAGTGTTGCTATTATGACATATCTTTGATTAAAATATAGTCAATAAAATATGTAAACTTTCATATGCTTGCATAGAAGTACAAGTCATTGAATAAATTTACCTCTCATATTAATGTCTTTTACTTGGATTCCGTCTTGTCTGTCATCCGTTATTCAATTATTTAACAAAATTGTTAAAACAAGGCAGAGGGGCTTCTTGCCTTTTTGAATAATTTTACTACATTTTGTGCTATAGCAACCAAATGAGCACATATTTCTGTTTATTTCCCTTAAAGGTAGGGTAGGCGATTTCAGAGAGGCTAATAGCAAGCTAGCTTTGAAAGCATAATTTCCACCCTCCCTGCAATGGAGGTATGCAAACAAATACAAACATTGACAGGCAGGTAGGACAGCCTATATGACTGGACAAACTTTTATGGTCCTACGCCTTCCACAGACTATATAAATACATATAAATAGCCTACAATAAAAAACACTTAACTTAGTGATTGCTATCAGGATGTCAAGAGACTTTCAACCAGCATAATACAAATGGTTTTTGAACCAAATCACCTGCCCTGCCTTTAATAACACAATGCATGATCATCTTAAACTTATATCTCAATCTGTTACAGTTTAAAAGTAAATGCACATTGTTCTTAAAAGAGGCATCTTTGCCCATCTTACCCTAATATTTTACTGGGGCTCGTGTCCCAGTAAAAAGGGTCTAGTGACACCACTGATCATAGCATCCGTACCACTGAAACACTGCAAAAGGACAAAATCTTGATCTTCACTATACAGCCATCAGTAGCCTAAATGTACAGTATGTCATATAGTTGTTTTGCATGCATATTTATAAAGTAGCTTTCCAACAGATTAGTGCTTTTATAAATACCCACATCTATCCTGCCTTGGTTAATGAGAATTTGCATTTAGGAGGATGCATAATTTGCACAAAAAGCACTCAACACTGCCTCCAGTGAAGAATATTTTATCAAAACATGATGTGTTATACAAGGGAACATAAAGGTGGCATATTTGCATGCTACTGGTGAAATTTCCTGTTTTATGAAAGCTAATTTTTTCATTTAATCAACAGATATCTTTAAATCTTATAGTTTTCAAAAGTTATAGGCCTAAATGTAGATGGTTTGGGGTCAAGCATACAGAACAATGTGACAGCAATGAAAATAAATACTTAAGGCACAAATAAGGACTGCATGCATAAAAAATACAATGCATTATATCTCATGATTGACACTAAATGTTATACTTTATACAATTTTATTTTGTTATATACACAATTTGTTATATACAACCCTTTAAAGTTGTACGTTGATTATAATATTTTGTTCATTTTATTAATGATATACATTTTAATGTTAATGTGGCATTCATAACTTCCAGATCTAATTCCTGCTTCCATTTGAGTCAATGTCTAAGCTAAGTTGAAAAACAGTTGAATTCAAAATGCCTCTATACATTTATGGTATCAACACAATTGCTTCATATAACCTTAACTTTATATAATTTTATCATGTATATAAAATAAATCTAACAGCTCAGATATGCAGGTGGTTATGCAAATATGAACTTAATGAACCTAAAGAATAGCATTACTAACAAGCACTAAACGTACATTTCCAACAATTGTTGTGAAGGATTGAGGTATGCTGGCCTTTTGTAGCAGACTGGCTTCTTTTCATCACAGCAGCGTGCACTGTGCCATTTGAAATCATTTTTAGGGTCAAGGGACACTGAAGTACATAAGCCCTTCAAAACAGCCAGTGGATGCGCCTCATCCCAGTTAATGTAATTCACAGAGATTGGGGGCTCATACTCCTCCTGCCAGTACCAGTCTGTAGTTAGTAAACTGCGCCGGAGACCAATCCAGCCATCCCCATCCTCCTTGGTCAGGTTATCAGCCATGTCCTTAAGGACAGATTTAGTTATAGGACAGGCAAACTGATTTCCATTATTCATGCAGTACTCACGAGACTTTTTCCAATTCAGAGGGTCCTTTCCAATTGCAAATGCTCCAGGAACTAACACACAGCCATGAAGATCTGAATGCATGAACAAATGAACAGATTTTTACCTTTTGCCTTCCACCAGCCATTCAAAATTGAATTGAGAATGTCTATTAGAAATGACAGACACACAGACGGACAGAAGGACAGACAGACATACAGATAGACAGATAGATAGAGATTCGTTTCAAATGAGATCTTTTACCTGGTTTTTCATTGATTGGTATAGCCGGGCCTCCAAACATTACTTTTGCAGACATATGTTCCAGCATATAAACGCCAATCCTTGATGTTGGATGCCAGATTGTGGCAATTTGATCTTGCATAGTTACAACAGCCGAAGAGTAGTTTGTGCCAGCGATTTCAGTCCAGTCAGATGCTGAGAGCAAACCACTATGTGTGTGCACATCATCTTTACTGTCTGTTTCAGCGATCACCAATACCTTGCCATTTGTTGAAGAAAATTGCAGCAGGAAGCAAGCAAAAAACATGGTTTCTGGGATCAACTCCACAATGACGCCCGGACTGAAAAGCCTGAGGGACACTCGCTCTGTTGCATTTACCAGCTGGGATTTCTGCAGGTCTGAAAATGGCAGAAGCGTTGAGGGAGTAGCCTGTAGCTGGTTACCATTGTGAAATAGCGAGGACGTGTTTTCTGACAGCATAAGTAACTTGGTCTCGGAATTGCTGAAGATGGAAGGTACGATAAAGCTCCGACCCTGAAACTTTGAGGGAAGAATCTGATTTATTACCATGTTACAGTTACAGCTCTGAGTCTCTACACATGGGTGGGTCAATATCACAGCGATTTCTTTGCTCGATTTGACCCTCAAAACAGAACCGTTGGTCTGAAGCTGGACCAGCTGGTAGGAATCCATACTGAACGTCTCTTGTTCGTGAGTACCTGATGTTGATGTTTGCTTGACTATAGTGACATCGTTTTGACTGTCCACCGCATTGATAATGAGTAACTTGAATGAGCTGTATCTCATGGTTGTACTGACAAGCCTAGGTAGGTCGAAAAATTCAAGATACTCTGGGTAATCCAGCAAAGGGATCAAATAGTTTGTGCCGAGATTTACCGTTGGCTGGACGACATAGGACTGGGTGCTGCCTGCCCGCTGATTTATAGAAACCACTGTGATGTTTTTGTCACTGGTAATTCTGACAGATAAAATCGAGGAGCCTAGTTGATTTATTTCAGCAGACATTGGAAACACAACACTCGTGGTCTGCCCTGACTTTGGAATTAGTTGGTCTTTCTGTGTGTTTTTGTAGAAGACTTTGATGTTAGTGTTGTCATGAAGGGCCGTGACCTTTAGACGTTTAATGGTACCAGACGGATAGAAGAAACCAATGTTCTCTGGAAAGGCAGTGATGAAGTTGTCTCCATAGCCCACCACTGTAAGACCTTAAATAAAAGTGTTCACTGAACATGAGCATGAGATCACTCACACATCAATTTGACAATGGCTATATTGCATCCCAGATCACTTGCAGCTCTAAAACATTTTTCAGGTGGAACAACAATACTGCCCACAAAAACTGCCCAATTTGGGAGAAACCATTAGTTATCATTAGTTACATTTACATTTATTTGTTTTTATCCAAACTGCTGTCATAGATATAGTAAAAGTTATTCCCTTACCTTGGTGAAACATTGATGCGAGGAGCAGAAAGACAAGCATGATTGTGGATTTAACTTGCTCTGGGCACTAGTAGTGAAAGAACAGTCAAAAACCACATGGAAATAAATGATTGCTAAATATGTTATGGTACACGCTAATTTGTATAGATGAATGTTTTAATTACATGTAACACAGAAAACCATCATAAAGCAACTAATTCGAACAAAGTAATTTAGACTGATGACAAAAAAGATTTTCTGAAGCCTTAGAATGTCAGAAATGTCTTGTAAAGATATCTAAAGATAAAAAACTAAAAAAAAATCAGCCAAGACACACAAGGATTTTTCACATTTTAAAAACTTCTCAGCGCTAGGCAACTATGTATATATATTCTTTGCAGAAATTGTACACCGTTTAAAGGACACATTTCAGAACAGTGCAGCTCTAAAACATTTTTCAGGTGGAACAACAATACTGCCCACAAAAACTGCCCAATTTGGGAGAAACCATTAGTTATCATTAGTTACATTTACATTTATTTGTTTTTATCCAAACTGCTGTCATAGATATAGTAAAAGTTATTCCCTTACCTTGGTGAAACATTGATGCGAGGAGCAGAAAGACAAGCATGATTGTGGATTTAACTTGCTCTGGGCACTAGTAGTGAAAGAACAGTCAAAAACCACATGGAAATAAATTATTGCTAAATATGTTATGGTACACGTTAATTTGTATAGATTAATGTTTTAATTACATGTAACACAGAAAACCATCATAAAGCAACTAATTCGAACAAAGTAATTTAGACTGATGACAAAAAAGATTTTCTGAAGCCTTAGAATGTCAGAAATGTCTTGTAAAGATATCTAAAGATAAAAAACTAAAAAAAATCAGCCAAGACACACAAGGATTTTTCACATTTTAAAAACTTCTCAGCGCTAGGCAACTATGTATATATATTCTTTGCAGAAATTGTACACCGTTTAAAGGACACATTTCAGAACAGCAATTATCCACAGAAGTCATCTGCTATGCTGACCTTAACACCTCTAACTACAACAAAATCTCTTACCTGATGTCTTGGTCAGTACTCTTCTTCTCTCTAAAAATCACCTCTTTGGCTTTATTTTAGTTTAGAAACATTTGACTTTCAAAATGCTTGATTTTCTCTCAGATTTGCATAGGATCCTGGCTAAACAAAAGACTTCAGTACATGATTTGCTATAATGACATTCACCATGCAAAATTCTGCTGTTCAGCGCTAGGCAACTATGTATATATATTCTTTGCAGAAATTGTACACCGTTTAAAGGACACATTTCAGAACAGCAATTATCCACAGAAGTCATCTGCTATGCTGACCTTAACACCTCTAACTACAACAAAATCTCTTACCTGATGTCTTGGTCAGTACTCTTCTTCTCTCTAAAAATCACCTCTTTGGCTTTATTTTAGTTTAGAAACATTTGACTTTCAAAATGCTTGATTTTCTCTCAGATTTGCATGGGATCCTGGCTAAACAAAAGACTTCAGTACATGATTTGCTACTACAATTCCTACTAATAAAACACCATACTGTACATCAAACAGATTTGCTCAAAGTGTTTAAAATCATGTTTTCAATTGTTATTGCAACCATTTTGCCATAGGTATTTAGTGCATTACCACAGCCAAATGTAACTGATGAAAAGTGATGAAAACAAGACAGCAGAGTACAAGTTCACTAACATGTGATGCTCAGGTCACATCTATGATGAACACACGCATTAAATAAAACACAAACTAGTCCCATATGGATAGGATGCAATAAAGGTGAATACTTACAACAGATTATGAATTTGAACATTTATTGAAAACAGCTGAATCTGTAAAGCAGCACAAGTGATCCAAAATTACAAGCAAAACCACATTTATAATTCAGTAAAATGCTAACTGTTGCCTGGTTTTGTCTATAGGTGTCTGTGATTAAAAGGCTACAACCCCTGATTTGCCTAAACGACATCACAGAATGGAGGCGATGGTGAGCTATAAGAGTCAACCATAATGCACCAGAATCAAGCCTAATAGGCTTGAAGGTGTCTATAGTGACTTTTAAGAGCACTGTGATCTTGTGACATATGCTTGTATTCACCTACAACAGGAGCTGATTTCACTTTATTTGCCTTCACTTTAGATCACCATGCATTACATTAGACATTAAAGTTTTGATAGTTGTCATATTTGAGAGCATATTCAGTTTTGGTTTGTGCAATAACAGTATGTGATGCCATTATATATAGCTTATATATATATATATATATATATATATATATACACTTTTATTGTGTTTTCAGAAGATCCATATATTTTTAAATGTTAATATTGCTTTACATTATGCACATAAAACAACAAAAAATACTATAAAGTAACAGCTCTGTAATAGACAGTTAGCTTTTCTATAATTAAGCAATTAGATTAATTTTACTAAGAATCATGATTAAACTTTTGTAATATGATTTATTATTGCAGTTACTAACTTCAAATAAAAGGTCAAGAATTTGGACATGAAGGACAGACCTTTGGGTAAGTAATTCTAAAATGATCATATAGTGTATTAAAGGTCATATCACTGAAGTATTTGGCCTGTTTGTAGCAGATGGGCCCAAGCTTAGAGCAACAGGACACACTCTTCCAGGAAAACTCCTTGTTGGTGTCTTGGGACACAGCAGCGCACAAAGCTTTCCAGGGCATATCTGGATGCCCATCGGCCCACTTCGTGAAGCTCACGCTGGATTCGCTGTCATTGCCTTTCTGCCAGTACCACTCTGACGTGAACAGACTGCGCCGCAGACCGATCCAGAGATACCCGGGGCCTCTGCTGTTTTGCAGAAAGTTGGTCATCTCTTTTTGGGCCGTTTCGCTGCTTGGTGTGCTCAGCTGGTAAGATATATTTAAGCAGTAATGATGGGACTCGGGCCATGTCATGACATCAGTAGTGGTCTTATAATATGCAGAATCTGCCACACAGCCATCACGATCTGTGAGCACACAAGCATACGTTGACACATTTACAGTCTGCACTGTGAATTTTGATTTCATTCACATTTTAATGTAACTTCAAGTAGGATGATGTGATGTATATTAGTCAGCATGAAATCCAAATGAATTTAAAAATTATTCTTGGTCTTGTATGATTCATCTGTCTATGTTACTGCAAAGAAAATGTGTTACATGTTCATAAGGAAATGTCAGGAAGAGATTTTTTTAAACATACATTTTCTGAGCTAGTCATTTCCATACAATAACAGTGGACGCTGATTTTTGCGGTCAAACTCTAAAAATGACTAAATTATTTGTATACACTACTGTTCAAAAGTTTGGGGTCAGTAAGATTTTTTTTAATGTTTTAAAAAAAAAAAAGTCACTTATGCACACCAAGGCAGTATTTACAGTATTTGATCAAAATACAGTAAAATATACAGTAATATTATTACTTAAAATAACTGTTTTCTAATGTAATATATTTTAAAATGTAATTTATTCCTATCATGACAAAGCTGAATTTTCATCAGCCATTACTTTGTCTTCAGTGTCACATGATCCTTCAGAAATTATTCTGATATGCTGATTTGTTGGTCAAGAAACATTTCTTATTGAAAACAGCTATGCCATTTAATATTTTTGTCGAAACTGTGATGCATTTTTGTTTTAGAATTCTTTAAAGAATTGAAAATTCAAAAGAACAGCATTTTGTTTTAAATAGTTATTTTTTTATAACAATGTAAATGTGTTTACCGTTACTTTTTTAAATCAATTTAATGCATCCTTGCTGAGTAAAAGCATGGATTCCTTTAATAAAATACCAGTTTTACACTGTAGTGTATAGTAGTAGTATTATTTTATGCATTATAAATGAATATAATTATATAAAACATATTGCAATTGAAACCAATTTCATGTCATGTGCCATTCAGACATATGATACTATCCTAATTTAGCAAATCCAATCATAATTCAATCAATTCCTGATTTCATAAACCACATGATATTGCATCAAAACATATTGCAATTGAAACCAATTTCATGTCATGTGCCATTCAGACATATACTATCCTAATTTAGCAAATCCAATCATAATTCAATCAATTCCTGATTTCATAAACCACATGATATTGCATTCTTCCTAAAATGGGAGTAAAAAAAGGTTATAAGTATAATTTGATGTTGCCTTTAGTTTACTCTTGGATAATAAAAAAAAGGTATAATTTTACCTGGTTCATCATTTAAAATGACAGCTGGGCTTCCGTAAGGAATTCCACCCTCCATCTTCTCAAACATGTACACTCCGATCTTGGAGGTTGGATGCCAGATGACATGCGTGCCACTAAGCGACACAGATATCGAAGAGTAGTTTGAATAGGGAATGGGTTTCCAGTCAGTGAATTGAAGTAATTTGCCATCTATATACACATAGTTCTTACGGGATGTTTCAGCTATGATAACGGCCTCACCTTCTGTCGAGTTCATCTGAACCAGGTAACAAGCGGCGAACATGGTTTCTGGAATGAGTTCTAAGACGAAGCCTGGACTAATAAGTCTGATGGACACCATATTTGATGCACTGATTATCTGAGACGCACTCTTGAGTTCCGGGAAGGGAATTAGCTCTGAAGAATTGGACTGCTGAGTTTTTATATTCACGCCTTTGAGCCTCACTTTCGTTGTGTTAGTCACTTGCAGCCAAGCTGTATTCAGGTTCTTCACCGACGGCACAACAAACGTGTCACCCCACAGATTTCGGGGGAGAACGTGGCTCACCACCATATTGCAATCACATCCTGTAGTTTCTACGCACGGGTGGGTTAACAGCACAGCCATAGTGCCAAAAGAGTCCAATTGAATCTCCGAACCGTTAGTTTGGAACTGGTAAAGTTCGTAAGGCCTGAGCGTAATATTAAATGCTTTTGGACCATCCGGGCTGATACTTTGGACGGTGATTAAGTTAATGGAGTTCTCAGCATTGATAATGATCAGCCTGAAAGAATTGTATCTCCAGTTGTCTGGAGCTAACTGATCTGACATATTGTACAAGGATGCCATCATCTGATTGTAATTGATAAATGGGATTGAATACCACTTTCCGAGATTTTTTACAGGTTGAACAACATTAGACTGCAAGCTGTCCCCAAGCTGACTGAGCCAAAGCACCACGATCTTTTGGGTGCTGTTGACTCTGACAAAAAGAGGGGAGTTTGTGAACTGATATTGCTCGATGTACTTGGGAAAATGCACAATCTTAGACTGCCCAGATTGTAGTTTATCATAAAACACATTTGTGTAGTTGATGGTGATTGAGACGAGGGTGTTGTCGTAGAAAGCAGTAATTTGGAGCATGTTGGAGGACTCCTGTGGATGGTAGTAAGCAGTGTTTTCTGGGAATGCCGTGATGAAGTGTCTTCCATAGCTCTCCAATGACAGCCCTATCAAATCATCAGTTTAAAAATATGAATTTTATACAGATGTAGATATTCTCAGTAGAGTATATATATTCTAAAATAACATTCCCACAGTGTGAGCCTAAGGTCTAGTTTCTCTTGTATCACTCTGCACTCTTTCTTCCCAAAAAACTTAGACTCAGATCAATATGTCATGCCCACTGATTTGCTAAGCAGCTTACGATCTTTTGGGTGCTGTTGACTCTGACAAAAAGAGGGGAGTTTGTGAACTGATATTGCTCGATGTACTTGGGAAAATGCACAATCTTAGACTGCCCAGATTGTAGTTTATCATAAAACACATTTGTGTAGTTGATGGTGATTGAGACGAGGGTGTTGTCGTAGAAAGCAGTAATTTGGAGCATGTTGGAGGACTCCTGTGGATGGTAGTAAGCAGTGTTTTCTGGGAATGCCGTGATGAAGTGTCTTCCATAGCTTTCCAATGACAGCCCTATCAAATCATCAGTTTAAAAATATGAATTTTATACAGATGTAGATATTCTCAGTAGAGTATATATATTCTGAAATAACATTCCCACAGTGTGAGCCTAAGGTCTAGTTTCTCTTGTATCACTCTGCACTCTTTCTTCCCAAAAAACTTAGACTCAGATCAATATGTCATGCCCACTGATTTGCTAAGCAGCTGTGTAACAGGTTAGAGAATGTACAGTCAGTCAGTTTAATAGCAAAATAAACTCAAAACAGGGTGAAGACCTGACCATCTTGTCAATGGCTAGCTGACTGTATACACTACCCTTCACATGCAGTTTTTTTGTAGTAAAATACAGAACAATTTGTGTAATGACGCATAAAACAACAATAAAACCAATGAGCTTTATATATTCAGTGATTACATCAACTTTGTACGTGTGCAATTGTGCAAATGTGAAAGATGATTTACCCGAGCAAACCAATGACATGAAGATAAGATGAAACAGCATCACGGTCACTCTGTGGTTTCCAGGACAGTTGGTTTGAGCAGCTACTGGTGTTCGACCAAGCTAGAAAAAAAGAGATGGATAAATCTGATACATAAAACTGGTATTTTTTTGTCTTTTATTGCTCCTGTGCTGAAAAAGCTGCCTGATATGGTTTGTTTGTCTGGTTTGTTTTGTTTTGGAAGACCAAACAAACCAGATTTTCAAATGTTTTCATTGTTGTTTTCCAGCAGAGATAATAATTATGTCTGAAATTGAAAGAGTAAAATAAAAGAGTACATAAACGAGTTTAAGAGGAATATAAAGCTGTGAAGCTGTGCAGTTCTTACGTGAATTCGTTATTTATTTTTGATTCAGTCATAATAAATAATATAATTGACTCAAACAAAACTGATTAATGTCAATGTTACATTTATAAGTGCTATAAAAGTGAACATGGATTATGAAGTCACAAACATAACCCATGCATAATTGTCAAGTTTATCATTAACTTCTTGACACAGCCAGAGTTAAACTTCTTAGTTCAAAATGTTCCTAAATGTGTAGTTCCAATACTAAATCAGACAAAAATTATTCCTGAATTCCCATAGTGCATTTTCAACAACAACAGACAGATCATAAACATACTCATGTAGTACAGTATTAACATATTCTGTTATGTAAACCTGATGACTTACCTGATGCTTCAAGATCACAGGTCTTCCACTCTCTGAGCAAAGTAATCTTCTTTTATGTGTTTTTCCAACAACAGGCCCATTTTGCATTCAAAACACATTTAGTGCCTCCACGCAAGTTTGCATAATGAGCTGGTGACATTACTATTAGTCATATAACACTTGCTATATATTCTCACAGCACAGTCATCACTCAATTCCTCACTCCTCTACACTCTTAGAGAAAAAAAGGTACAAAAGCTGTCACTGAGGAGGTATCTTTTCCATTTAGGTACCAAATACCATTTAGGTACCAAGGTACTTATGAGATTAAGGTACCAATATACATCTTTTAGGGGTAAAAAAAAAAAAAAATTGGTAACACAGCTGTATTTTTGAAAAGGTACCACCTCAGTGTCAGCTTTTGTACCTTTTTTTGTCTGAGAGTGTATTGTAAGTCGCTTTGAATGAAATTGTCTGCTAAGTGCATAAATGTAAATGTAAAGGAGAAACAATGCATGTACAAGGTTTGCGGTCTGAAAGTTTATTTGGAAAAAGAAAAACTTCCTACACAATGCTATGCACATGGATTTTAAGATATGTTTTAATGTATCGTGAAATCATTCTTTTTTGAAAGTATATATATCTACATTTTGGAAATATAAAGTGCTAATAACAATAAAAAGTAATGTTTCTAGATAAACAGTGTGAACATTGTGAATAAGATCATAAGATAAGGCTGCATACAGTATTCATGGTTATAATAGTACACTCTTAAAAATAAAGGTGCTTCACGATGCCATAGAAGAACCTTTTTGTCTAAATGGTTCCATAAAGAACCTTTAACATCTGAAGAACCTTTCTGTTTCACAAAAGGTTCTTTGTGGTGAAAGAAGGTTCTTCAGATTACAAAAAGGTAAGAAAGAGATGGTTCTTTAAAGAACCTTTGACTGAATGGTTCTTTGTGGAACCAAAAATGGTTCTTCTATGGCATCGCTTGAAGAACCTTTTGAAGCACCTTTATTTTTAAAAGTGTAATGCGAACTTTCTGGAGGTATTTGTGACAAAACAACTTCACGTCTACTTATATGTAATTTGACATCTTTATTCTGTCTTATTTATTAACATAAACTAGACTTATATTGGTTTAACACTTGTGCTGTGCTGAAGACCAGTCAAAAATGACCAACCTTTAAAATATTGCTTGTAAATCTATCGTTAAGCTATATTATCACCAAAACCTGAATTCAATCTTTTGTCAACTTGTTTTTTCTTTTAATTAGAACAGATTCTTAGTTTCTTTTTGGAACCGATTGATCGTAGGCTTTAAGTTTATGCACCTCCACATTACTTGTGGATAATTTTGGCAATATTCACAGATCAGTGAGGCCTATGTAAGTCGCTTTGAATTAAATTGTGATCGATCAGTTCCAAAAACTGATTTTCAGGAAAAGCAAAATCCTCTCTGGGTCAAAATGACTGCAACACAACATGAGGGTTTAATGAGGTTTGTATATTAACAATATATAATTTAATGTATACAGCTATAAATCGTAAACTATAAAGAAACAAAAATGTCATCCTCTTTTTTTTTTAACCTTAAACTTCTGGCAACTTGTTTTCCCTGGCCAGTTTGTATTATTAAGCTTAATTTCCTGGAACATTAGAATTACTAGCTGTCTCATTTGAGATCAGAAAGTACTGAGCCCTTGTGTAGCAGATAGACTTCAATTGAGTACAACAGTGCGTAGTTTCCCAATGGAAATCCATGCTTGGGTTTGGGAATACTGAAGCACACATGCCCTTCACAGCATCACCTGACTCCCCGGTTCCCCACCGAGTGTATGGCAAGTTGTGTGAGCTGTTACCTTTCTGCCGGTACCATTCTAACGTCATCAGACTGCGACGCACACCGATCCAGAGCCTCTCATTCATACCTTCATTATTCAGAATGTTGGTCATCTCCGCTTGGGCCTCTTCATTACTGGGACTGAATAACTCGTCACTCATGAGCTTACAGTACTGATGGGATTCAGGCCAGGTTTGAGGTGTGATGATGATGTCAAACTTAGAAGGAACAAACGCACAGCCTAAAGGGTCTAAATGCACACAAACACAACACTAATGTTTGAGTAAGTACATAAGTATAGAATTATCATACACTCTTAACAATAAAGGTTCCAAAAAGTTTTTTTGTAATGATGCCACAGAAGAACCATTTTTGGATCCCCAAAGAACCTTTCAGTGAAGACTTCTGAAAAGAACACTTAAAAATTCAGGTTCTTCATTGGTATCTGTGGTTCCATGAACCTTTGTCTTCCAAGGAACATTTCCATTGTACAAGTGTATTTATAGTGAAAAAAATTAATTATACTATTAAAATGTTCTTCACACTAAGAAAAAAAATGGTTCTTTTAAGACCTCGTCACTGAAAAGTTCTTTGGGGAACCCAAAATGGTTCTTATATGGTATCGCTGTGAAGTGCTCCCACTTTTGGAACCATTATTTTTAAGAGTGAACCATTTTTTCTTTGTTACATTAAAAAAATTATTTATGGAACCATAGAGGCCAATAAAGAATCTTTATTTTTAAGAGTGTAGTTGCCACACTCAGTAACTAAAAGATTTAAAGACAAAAAATCGAATACAAATGTGTGTTTTTTTTAAGTTTGCTTCAAAAAATTTGTTCAATTCTTTCATAAATTAGAATATTTTTTTTTTTACAGTTTACTTCTCCAAATTCCTATATCCTCATATTTTTGCTTTAATTCCAGAGTAAACAAGTGAACACAATAAAACCACACAAGTACACATTCAGGATAGTGTTAACTTATGGCAGATTTATTTTTTTTTAAGTTTGCTTCAAAAAAATTTGTTCAATTCTTTCATAAATTAGAATATTTTTTTTTTTTACAGTTTACTTCTCCAAATTCCTATATCATCATATTTTTGCTTTAATTCCAGAGTAAACAAGTGAACACAATAAAACCACACAAGTACACATTCAGGATAGTGTTAACTTATGGCAGATTTTAACCAAAAGGATAACTTTACTTATTTGACAAATGTACTTTTAAAAAGTAAATATCAGATCAGGGCATGTTGTCACATATTATTTTATCTTTCATACACTTTATTAATTACAGTTTCTGTTAGCAAAAACAATGGTTGGATATGTTTGTAGGTTATGTTGTACTTTTTGTTGCTGATTAATTATTTTACTGCTAAAATTGTGCAAAAATATCTCGGTTCTATTAATGGGAGGTTTACATTGTGACAACATGCATTGCTACTGGGTCAACGTTCAATGAGCTATGAACTTTTTCCTTGCAATAACAGTGGAAAGATAACAGGGTGTGTGTACAGAAATTGACTTAAAAAATAAATAAATCCAACTTTAGAAATAGTAATGTAATAACTAGGACCAATTTCCCCCTACTTAAAGGGACAGTTCACTCAAAAATGAAAATTGTCATCATTTACTTACCCTCATTTCATTCCATGTTCTGTATGACTTTCTTTCTTCTGTGGACCATAACTAAAATCTATATTTTGAAGAACTGTTTTTGTCCTTACAATGAAAAATGCTTTAGTGTTTGTTGTCTGTAAAATGAAAGTCAGTGGGGTCCAATGTTGTTTTGTCCCCCACTGACTTTCATTATATGGACAACAAACATTAAAGCATTTTTTAAATATATAAAAAGTCATAGAGGTTTGACATGAGGGAATGTAAACACACTCTTAAAAATAAAGATTTCAAACGCATTGTTTCCACAGCAATGCCATAGACCCATTTTGGGTTGGGTTGAACCTTTCAACCTTTCTTAAAAGAACCATTTTTTCTTAATGTGAAGAACATTTTAATACTCTAAAGAACCCTTTTTCCACTATAAAGAACCTTTTGCCTGTTGAACGTGTCCATGGATGTTAACGGTTCTTTATGGAACCATCAATGCCAATAAAGAAACTTTATTTCTAAGAGTGTAATGACAGAATTTTCATTTTTGGATGAACTATCTCTATGAAGCAATTCATGCACTTATGTTGATGTTAGCATAATACACTACATAATACAAAAAGAACAATTATGAATATAGCTGACATCACCATCCCCCTCTAAAAAAGCAACCATCAACAGATATACTGTACTTCTTACCTGGCTTTGCACTTAAAGATATAGCCGGGCCTCCATACACATTTGTGCTCTTCTCAAACACGTACACGGCGATCTTTGTGGATGGATGCCAAATGATGTGTGTGCCATCAAGAGACACTGACACCGATGAGTACACTGAATTGGCGATGGGACTCCATTTAGTAGATAAAAGCAAATCATTATCTATATACACACTATCCCTGTAGTATGTTTCTGCTATGATTAAGGCCTTGGCATCTGTCGAGCTGACAGGCACTAGGTAGCACGCAGAGAACCTATATTGGGAGATCGGTTCAATGATGATGCCGCTTGGACTGACAAGCCTGAGGGAAACAGGATTCGATGTGTTGATGAACTGGGATCCTAACTGCAGAGATGGAAGCGACAGTAGTTTTGAGGAATAGGCATCCACAGTGCTCGATTCTAGATCCCCGCCATTGGCACTGGTTTTCATTGAGGACGTCACATGTAGCCAAAAGTAGCTGGTGTTGAGTATTGAGGGTACAACAAATCTGCTATCCCACTGAGCGTCGGGATAAAGTTGGTTCAGCACCATGTTGCATCTGCATTCTTCCATCTCTACACATGGATGGGTCAGCATTACAGCCACTCTATAATCAGAATAAATCTCAGTTTCTGTCCCGTCAGTTTGAAGCTGGAGAGCGGTGAACGGATCGAGCATGTAAATCTCGTCTGTAGACCTTTTTACAATTCTGACATTATTAATCTGATCTTCTCCGTTGATAATAACCAGCCTGAAGGAGCTGTATCTCTTGCTGACATTTCTTGCCGATTGATAAAAAGTATTGATCATCTGCCTGTAATTCAGCAAGGGGATGGTATAAATTGTACCAAGATTTTTCTGAGGCTGAATGACATTAGTTTGCACACTGTATGCTTTCTTGCTGATTGATTGCACCACGATGCGCTTCGTGCTGCTGATTCTGACAGTCTGAGAAGTTTCACCGAATTGGTATTCCTCAATATCCACTGGCAAGGTCACAGTTACAGGCTTTCCTGCTGGCAGTGTGTTTGTGTATGTCAACTGCCCTGAGATGAAGACTTCCACCACAGTGTTGGGAAGGACAGCGGTGATATTGAGAGAGTTCACTGGACTAAGTGGATAGTAGAAGGCTATGTTCTCTGGGAATATTGTGATGAAGCTATCTCCAAGGCTGTCCCATGAATGACCTGTTAAACCAAGAGTTATTAATATCATGCCGACAGAACATGCCTTTTATTAGGCCTCAAGAGGACTAAAACAGCAATATATGAAGAATGGCTCTATTTAGAAAGCACTAATGATGCATTTCTTACCTTGGCCAGTTATTGCCATAATCAGAAGAATAGTCAGCATGATTTCTGTCCTGATTTTAGTCAGTGGTCTGAAAGAGAGAGAGAGAGAGAGAGAGAAAAAACATATGACCCTGTGTGTCAGTCATATTAAATCATTCGTTTGATATTTTGCAATACACCATTTTCACACTGCTTGTTTTATAGCTTTGTAAATCAATAGTGTGAGAGCTACTGGAGCACTTGTTTTTATATTAGCATATATTTGCTGCAGTGAAACAACGGAGTGTACTTAGAAATGTAAAAAACAAAGGCAACAGTTTGCAGTTTGCATCCGAAGCGGAGTGCCTAAAACCCCCTTAGCTGTTATAAATTCACTGTAAACCATGGCTTCACGGGTTTATTGCTTTTATAAAACAGTTATTCCATATACGTAGTAAGGTTTCACAAAATAAAACAGAGCAAATAAAGTGTAATGATATTAATAAAAACATTATTCTTCCACCAAACAATGTAGTTCCTCAGAATCAGTTGCGGTCGCAACAAAGTGGTTGCCGAGCAACACACAAACGTAAACAAAGGTGTATGCTTGTAGAGTAATTTACAACAGCTTCGAACGCGGATCAGCCAATCAGAATCAAGGACCGGAACTACCCGTTTTATTAAATTAAATTAAGAATGTTATTTTAAATTGTATCAACTTAAAAAGTTTACTTTTTAAAAAATGTACAACGTAAAAAATTGTTCTCTTTATTTGGCTTTAAATAATGTGATTAATCTAATGAAGTGTACAAAGCATATTGACAATACATGAACACCTATGAGAGAAAAAACATGTACTCACTCATATGAACTCACAAAACTTACCTTTTAAGACAAGAGTAATCTTTTTAAAATGTAAATAATGCAACCATATAATTATTCATTAAATGAAACCTTACTTTTACTTTATACAAAAATGTCTTTAGTATTCATGAAGATTGTTTTAAGCACTGTTATTAATGAGAATGCACTAATAAATAATTATTCATGTAAATAAAACAATTTTCTTAAATATTCATGAAGATTGTTTATAAGCACTGCCAATAATAAGAATGAACTAATAAATATCCTACTTTGAAATTTTTCAATAATATAAACTAGTTACCCCCCCCCCCCAACAAAAAACTCCCTAT